CTGTCTGACTTAGTGGAATGTGTATGAAGATTGTGTGCATGCTTTTGGGGAACTGACAGCTAACCAATACCGACAATGTGTAATTATTCTGTAGTTTGGTAAATACTTGTTAGGTCAAGCTTGGAGGGATAGATTTCCCCTCTGCAACAGAATGGTCAATAATCTGCTGAGAGAGAATAAAAATCCCCCAAAAAGTAAGAATTGCCTGTTGTTGAAAAAATTGAGGATTTTCCGCATCAAAATGTAGTGTTCCAGCATGACTAGAAAAATCTCTTTGAACACTTAAGCTTTTGAGTAAGATAAGAAATTATTCATGGCTATTATTGCTTATGTTTCTGTGATGCTCTTTGGAACATTAGCTAGTGTTAAAAGCAGAGCACGATCAAGCGTGCGATTCTGTTGTGTTTTCTGGAATTGAATCTAGTTTTCCTTGTTTTCCACCTCAAACCGTGTACCATTCTCTGATTTGGAGACAGACTGCATCTTGCAGTGACTGAAGGGAGGGTTGTTGTGTACAGACAGTACATGATCTGTTCTTTAGTGACTAGCATGATTTCAACTGTTTGTGAAAGTGTTGTCATTACAGTCTTGATACTGTACACATACCGCGTTTTGAGCCTGTGTTATGCTTATGTTTCACTCTTTCAGCTTTAAAAATTACTTTATCAGAATCGAGGCTTACCCTACAACCACTTGTTGACTCTTTCATGTTCTCACTAGGAAAAGTGGGTTGACGTGGCGTCAATGAAGATACCAAGAGCTGGTGTCTGTGTGGTGGCTGTGAATGGATTTCTTTACGCTTTGGGAGGCCGAGCTCCAAGTAATGATTTTGCTGCTCCGGTAACCTCTGACTCTGTTGAAGTTTATAACCCTCATACGGACAGCTGGACTGAAATTGCCAACATGATCACCAGCCGCTGCGAAGGAGGTGTAGCTGTGCTGTGAAACACAAAGAAGAAAACTCATTCAAGGAATGAGTAAATCTGACTCCTCAGATTTCTGGTTTCATTGGCCAGAAACCTCTTCTAACACAGGAGCTTCAGTAGAGACAGCAGAGAATTAGATCAGAGGGGCTTTTCCCCAGCAAAAGGAAGTATCAAAACTCTCACCCTTCAAATTGGCTTAGCCAAGGTCTGTCTCAGCAAGTATTCTCGTAAGAGTAGGGAATGCCCCTTACGACTGGATTAAGCTCACTGAAATAAATGGCGAATGTGCCCTGTACACACCCAAAGAAATCATTCCAGCACATTAGAGACATTAATCAGGTTATTAACCCTCTGCAGTGCACCAAAGCTGGCATCTCTAACTGGCCTTATAATCTGCAAAGAGGCTACTAGAGACAGCTGGGAGTTTCCTGTAGGTAAGAACAGGTGGGCTACCTAGTTAGCATTAATTGTCTTTTTCTAGTGGGAAACAAAGAAGAGGTCATAACAGATGGGGAGGACTTGTTACCTCTAGTTGTGGCCTTGATGCATTTGAGGCTCTTTGCTGCTGCTGGACGTGACGGGCATTAAATGTGAATTGGATATTTACTTTCTGGCCACTCCACTAACTTGGATGGGAAGTAGCTGAGAATTTCCTGTTGTGGAAGGTCATTCTCACAGTTCTAATAACACCATTCCACTTCAGCGTAGGCTTTTCTTCTCAGTGGTAGTGGTGATGACAATAGAGCTTGTTTTTTTGTAAGCTCTGATGAATTTTAAATGGAAATGCTACTCGTTAGATTAGCTGTTCTTTTTAGGGCTGCTCTTAGAATGAAGATGTAGAGAAAGCCTTTTGCTTTTTTTTTTTTTTTTCCATCTTCCCTAGCTAGATGTTTTACCCTGTGTTCCACATGCTGACACTTGGCAGTGGAGTACATGCTATTCTACAAGGTGCACACGTTCATCCTTGCGACATCTTGTATCCTGCTTCTTCCAAATTTGAGCAGATGGAGCGTTTTGTGATAGAATTAGCGGCATTCAGCATTAAAGTGATGCTTACAGATCTGCAGTTACCTAAACTACCTATGAAATACTGCACCCAGTGTGTTTTGTCTTAAGGAGTTTGTATTTAGTTTGCATACACTTAGTAGAGCAATACTGCTAGGAGTTTGGAGTTATTTCTAGATTCATTTGAATAACATACTTGAAGTTGGTTTTTGCACAGTACGACTGCGTTTTCTGCACATGATGATTTGGATGGAGTCTGAAATAAGGCTGCTTGAACTTTGATAGACAGTGTTATTCTAGAACACAAAACCACAACTGGAATGTCACAGAACAGGAAGCCTGCACTGTGTAGACAAAGCAGCATTCATGCTGTCTAGGCTAATATCCCCTGTGTAAAATTAGAAATTTAATAGGTGAATAAAATCCTCCAAGGTGCTGCAGGTACCTTAAGAATCTAGGTCTTACCTTCTAACGTAGGGTTGGGAGGTTGCCAGGCTAAAAAATGCTAGGCGATGGTACGTTTGTTTCTCTGATTTTCTAAAATCTTACGTGTGCTTTTACTTCAAAAGGATTTCTTATGTGTGTTAACTAATATTTATTCCTTTTTTTTCCCCTGAGTTTAAGCTTGTTTTAAATAGTTTTTCATAATAAAATGCATTTTCAGAACTGTGGAATGTTCTTGGATTGGGTGGTTTCCTAACATACTATCACTGCCACTTTCTTGTAATAGTCTTATCTTTTTAAATTAGAAATCCTATTTTCCAGTGGAACACTAGGAAAAGATTGATTTGTAAATGCTGACTACTTGAAAAGTGCAACTAACACACTCTGTAGTATACAAACTACTCCCGTATTTATCTTCTCAGTGTAAAATCACTCAACTTCCTGGAAGTCTGGTTGCCTTGGCACTCTGTGCAGCCCTCTCTGGGATCAAATGATAGATAACTATTTCTTGGGCTTTCTTTGCATTTCAGGATCCTTTGTGAACCATTTGAGAAACATTTTATTAATTTTTTATTAATTTTATTTATTTTATTAATTTGAGAACTACGCATTCAAGGGCCTGCAGTGCTAGGACAAGGGGCAATGGCCTGAAACTGAGAGAGGGGAGATTTAGATTAGATATTAGGAAGAAATTCTTCACGAGGGTGGTGAAACACTGCAACAGGTTGTCCAAGGAAGTTGTGGATGCCCCACCCCTGGAGGGGGTCAAGGGCACGCTGGACCTTTTTTTTTGAGCAACCTGGGCTAGTGAGAGAGAGGTGTCCCTGCCCACAGCAGGGGGGCTGGAACTAGATGACCTTCAAGGTTCCTTCCAACCTTAACCATTCCGTTCTATACTTCTGATCCCTACCTGTAAACTTCCTGATTTAGTAGAGCTTGAGGGAATCTGCTGTTGTATGAAGTTACTTTCTCCATTTTTCGTAGTGGATTCGATGAAGTTTGACTAAAATTTTGAAGTCAGTTGATTATGGTCTGATACTCAGCACCTCTTTCCCTGAATCAAGTCAAAGGCAGTACTCTCCTCTGGACTCATCTTAAAAAGCACCATGTCTAAATAAGAAAAAATAAAAGAGCTATTTCCACTGACAAACTAATTTTACTTCCTTTATATTCAGAGAGGTCTGAATTGTATCACTATTTAAGAGGTATTATGCTGTTACTGTGTAAAGGTTAACAGGTTACAAAAGTCAGCCTTATGTATGTAGCCATTGTTTCAGCAATACCACGTAAGAAGGTGGCTCTCCCTTCAGGATAGACAGGTTTCTTAAATGTCTGTGCTTTGCAGAACAAGCAGATAAATTTTAAGTGGCAGCATGGGTTTTATTCTGTATAAAGCAACAATGAAGAATAATGCTTTAAGAGAACTATCACGATTATCTAAATTAGTGCTAAGACTGCTTGTAAATGTCATGTTTCAGCTTTCTTCTTGCATCTTAGTATTTAAAGAATACTTAAGATAAAAAGCCTACAGTAAATATGCCCACATACAATTTGATACGGTTTACTGAGGTAGTGGAGACTAAAAATAGAAAATCCATGACTTTTTTTTCCCTAAATGCTGTGTTAGGAAGACTTAAGTAAAAAGAGCATAAGCTTCTGCAATGTTTTCAATAATTGGCCCATCTCTGAAGGTGTGCAGGCTGCAAGTCCATTCGTACCTGCCCTGGGAGCTCAACTAAATTGATTTTTGAGGAAGGGGAAGACACAAACTACTTTCAATCCCATTATCCGATCCCTTAGTGCAAACAATTGAGTCCATGAGTCATATCATCAGTTGATAGTGCTCTAATTCGGGAGTATGACAGATTTTTAGGGCTATGTTGCATGAAGCTTCCTTGGCCAGGCGGCCCTGAGTCCAAACAAAACCCAGGAACAGGTGGCCCAGGTATCTGTTTTAAGTAAGTCTGAATAGGAAGTTAACCTTCTCTCTTGTGGCGCCTTCTCAAAGTTTGAAAGCTTCCTGCCCCTTCTAGCTCTCCCCTACTCTGTCACAGCAGCTGGGGGATGTTTTACGCAAGTGCTGACCTTGGCTTGCCACTGCAGACCAACCTTGCCTATCCTTTCCTACCTGACTAGCACTCAGTCACGTGGCATTTTCAGGACCTTCTCAGCTAAGACAGTTTTGTTCCACAGCACAGGAACTGAACACAGAGGTACTTTTGCATAAATCACTGCTGCTTCTCGAACGCTTGAAGAACTGCTTTCACCTTGTTACTGCTTATGTCTACACCATGGGACATTATCACACATTATAGTTAAAGCAGATATTTTAATAATTCAGCATAGAGCAATTCATACCCACGTCATCAGTTCATATAACAGTAACGTTTCATTCAAGAGTGATGCTCTGTTCTGTTGATAAGGACAGACTCATGCCTGCCTTGGAAGTCATTGCTATTTACAACCCCTCCTTCCTAAACTAGTTAAGTTGTTTGCTTCAAGAATAAGCATCTTGATCACTGCTATCTTACGACTTCTAAGCACAAATAAATCTTTATTTCCCCTGGACCTCAATACAAATACTTTATTGGCTGATAAATAGCTTTTTTTCCCCTGATTAATTTATTACTTCATGTTCTGCCATTTATTTCTCCCGTTACCTAGCTGCGCCTCTGAAATCATTTTCAGTGTTACAGTAGCTAATAGTGCCAACACCATCACCACTGTTCCCATTACCCTCAGTACTTTAAACCACCTAGGATAAGTAGGAAGAAGGGAAACATCATAATGTAGCGCTATCCCTAGGGCCATGACTAGCATTACTGCTCCGTGAGTGATATCTTTAAAAAGCAAGGCTTGCCAGGCAAGCAGAGGAGGAACTGTACTGTTAGCCAGGTTCAGCCAGTCTGGCTTGGCTGGGCTGTCTTCCGGGAGAGTAAACCCCCACCTCATTCCTCCGAGGAAAGAGACAGTTACGGCACCGTATGTAATCTGGCCAAATGCCAGCTCCGGGTAGTAGGTCCCTTGGACGGCCATCGCCAGCGGCACACAGACAAAGGGAGTGAGCCCTGCGAGGCTCAAGTAAAGGGCTGGCTTGGGAGAATCCTTTAGCGATTTCATACTTCGTTCCAAGATGCCTGGGCCTGTGTCAGATTCTTTGGGTGGTTTCTTCTTAAAGAAGGGAGGAGAGGTGTGAAAAGCCTGGAGCTTGATCGCATATACTGACGCTGCTTTGAAGCTTGGAGCTCTGGAGAGAGGCCATGTGCCTCTCTGCGGCTGGAGGCTGAGAGAAGACCAAGTTGTCTTATTCTTTCCATACAGGAGTAGTCTGGGTCCAGTTAACTTCTGGAGCTGCAAGTATAAAAATTGTTGTAAACACTTTCCAATGTAGGCTTACGGATCTACAGTTACCTGAACTTCCTATGAAATACTGCACCAATAATTTTTCCAAGTCAGGTCACATCACAGCCACCCTCCCTCTTGGTTGGTAAAAGGTGTTTTTTAATTAAGCTGATATAGCTTTCACAAGCGAGTTGATAAAGAGCAACTAGGCTCTTCATAGTGAGTAAGCAAATCTTACTAACCACAAATGGTTTGTATACCCACCTATCCTTCCACTCACGCATGCATTCTTTAGGTATTTTAAAAACAAGATGTATCAGTCCTTTTCAGAGTAGAATATAAAATAATTACGGAAGTAGGGCAAGGTCACCCCAGAAACTATCTACTGTCCCCTCACTACCAAAAAGAGAGGGAAAAAAGGCTTTAGACAATACAATTTTGTTCTATTTAAAAAATACCTTAGCTTTGGCTAAAAGCTGGTGTAGAAACCAGAAATCCTCTCAGAAATGCTGACTGATAAACATGTAGCTACTCCAGCTTGCAGTCACCTTTCTTTTCAATATTCCAGTCATACCTTCTGCTATTTCACTTTTCTAAAAAAAACAGACACCAAAAAAGGCTTCGGAAACTTACTTTGAAAGGTGCGTGGAAGCAGCATCGTTGCATGAGAGCAAACATATTTGCTTTATCAAGGCCCTAAAACAGAAAAATTCAGGAGAAGGTCTGGAACTGATGGATGGTTGAATTTGTCTTATATCCAAAGATGCAAGACTCTTACAGATGTCGATCTAAAGACAAATATCACGTGTATTCAATGCCTATTTATCTGCTACAGGATATTTTGTTTCAGGTAGCTCTATGAACTGACGGTCTAAAGTTGTAATAACTGTTACAAGGACAATTTCTAGTTAAAAGAACTTGGGTATCAGGGAACGAGTGATGCCTTCCCCTCTACGGATCATCTCCTTCTCACGGGATAAATGGCTGCAGGCACCTGATAAACGATAATTCCTCACATGTAGGAACAATAAAAATAAATAAATAAGATCCTTAACCATAAAGGAGTGGAAACTTCATCGCAGTGAGCTCCCTGCAGCGGGACAAAACTAACCGGGCAAGGCGAGCAGCTCGCCGGCCGA